CTCGACCTTAAGCACAATTCGGATGGATAAAGGCTCGAGTTCGAGTACCTAGAATTCAAGCTTGGATCGACTCGTAGTTAAAGTTGTCAATAGAAACGAGCCTTTCAAAGTCGAGTTTGTGCAAGGCTCGATTACTTAACGCAAAATATAAGGGCTTGATTGTTTATGGATTAATTTACTTACTTTTATTTCTAACTCAAAATTTAACTCAACCCCACCATCTTTAATATTATTCATATAATTAAATAATACAAATCAATCATTCTTACACATCACATCAACTCCACTCACATATTTTTAACTACCTATCATTTCCAATCATTTATCTCTTACTTTTACATCAAATCAATTTTAAATATTTTATTTTAAATATTATTTTAATATATTCTTAAAATTCCACTAACACCTAACTATACTACTTTTTCAAATTTAACTATGGTTAACCAAAATAACTCATTTTGAACAAATTATTTCATAAACAATCAAGCCCTAACTATTTTTACGTTCAATTTTTTAACCTTTTATTAGTATATTTCAGATGGATAAGGACTCAGAGAGCATCATCAAAATGTGTGCTTTTACATAATTTTCTAAGAAAATCGGTTGGATAAGGGCTCGAGTTAGAGAACCGTAAGTTCGAGTTCAGATCGACTAGTAACTAGAAATGTTTAACGAAACGAACCTTTCGAAGTCGAATTTGTTCAAGGCTTGGTTACTTAATGCAAAATGTATGTGTTTTTACGCAATTTCTCGACCTTTAGTATTATTGAGACAAATAAGGACTCAAACTAGAGCATGGCAAAAATATGTGTTTTTACGTAAGCTTTTAAAAACGTGTGTTTTTACTTAAGCTTTTAGCGAAAATTGACTGGATAAGGGCTCGAGTTAGAGTATCAGGAGTTTGAACTCGTCAAACTAAAAAAATATGTGTTTTTAAGTAATTTTTTAAACATTTACTGAAAATCGACTGAATAAGGAGTTTAGCTGGAGTATGACTCATTAGACTAAAGAATATGTATTTTTACATAATTTTTTTCTATTCTTAGTATAATTCGGTTGCATAGAAGCTCGAGTATTGAGAGTTAGAGCTAGAATTGGCTCGCTTATAACTTTATTTGTGATCACTATTTGTTGAAAGGTAATATATTTTAAGTGGTGACAAAGGAATGTTAAATTCTTTTAAGAACGATTAAAATGAAACTTTTGGTTTAACTAAAAAAAAAAAAAATTGAGAGATGTCACATCCCAAAACAACTTCATTCTCATCCAATTTGAAATTGGATTTATCGGCACACAATCAATGAAAAAGCAAACTTATTGAAGATATTGATGAGAAAACCAAATATCGGGATAAAAAAGTTTGTTTAGATTTAGCTTTAGCTTTGAATTGAATATAATGTCCTTTTACATAATTCTCTTTATTAATTCCTATATGTTATAGATGATATATGTATTTTTTTTTATTTACTTTATAATATGTTATATTCATAGTCTGATTACAAATATTGGACTATAATAAAAATAGCTTCTGATTTTAGCATATAAATTCTGTTATGTGTTAGCCATTAAAATAAGGGGATGTGTTTCAAGTCCAAATTCGATGTCTCAAATGTGAAATATTAGGTAATTAACACAGATTCTTTTAACATAGTCACCATATAAATACATTAATAGTAAATAACAAAATACATTTAATTTATCACAATAGTGGAGCCTTCAATAAAAAATCAGATTCAATTGGCAATTGTCATTTAAGTCGTTGCACATAATTAAAGATATATGAAATTAGACATTTTATAATCAATATCTGTTT